GAGGGAGGGAGTCCAGGTGAGAGGTGACCGTGGCCCGGACAGGGGTGGGGGTGGAAAACTGCAGGCCTCAGGAGGGACACTGCTTGGACACATTTTTCGTGGCAGAGCCTAGGCTGAATTTTAACAATAACACAATTACACCTTGAAGTTATAAACTCCCATCAGCAAGAGGGCTGTAGCTGAGCCAGGGGATGTTCAACGGACCGCGAGCCGACAGCACAGCTTGTACACAACCTTTCAGCCAGGGCCCTGACAGCTTTCTGGCCTGGCATCTGATGACCACGCGGAGGGAGACCTCCACGGAGCAGGTTTCAGGCTGCCCAGGGTCACCTGGCTCCAACCTTGTGGGTAGGGTCCGAGGAGGGCCCGACTTGCAGCTGTGGCCTGAAGCCCCCCTGACGGCAGTTATGGATGGCTGTCCTTTGTCCCGACCTGGCGGCAGGTGACATGAGCATACGCAGAATGAAGAGGCTCACTGAGGACTGGATCAGTGAGCACAGCTTAAGAGAAAACAGAGGGAGAAAACCGGCCCCCAGGCCGGTTACGTGGTTCTGTTTAGAGCTACTACATTGTCCAGAGGAGCGAAGCCAGTGCGCAAATATTTACAGCGACTCTTGTTTACGACCTGTTTTTATTTGGCTTTTGGAAAATATGACAAAGATAAATTTCACGGTTGTTTCTGATGATTGAACTTCATAAAATTTTAAACTCAACATGACCAACTGCTATTTCTTTCATCTAACCAGTGAGCCTCCTTGGAGTTCTCAAGAGCCAGTTAATCCACATGACCATGGGTGGCAAGTTCTCCCAGCAGCAAAGTCCACAGTCCATTCATACTGAATGACTTAGAGACCCACCCGATTCATCCCCACCTGCACACTAATCACATTTATAACATGCCCTGAACTACGTTATTGGTCTTTAATTTCAGTAGCTTGGTCTGCTTCTACAGTGGAGGGTGCAGTCCTAGGGTGGTGGCCCCGTGGCAGGCCTTTGTGCTCTGCTGTGGAAAAGTGGAAAGGACCCTAGACTGGCTGTTCTTTAGTAAAAATGATTTTCCAACCCTGTGTTGAAGTGAAGATGGAATCCTAAAAATGCCCACTGCCCACCCATCCCTCTTCCATCAAAAATAACTGAAACACGACGTTAAGGTCTTGAGTCACTTCTGCCTCGAGCCTGGTTGTGTTGTGTTGGGTTTTCAGTCCTGCAAGTGTCACTGTTGTGGGCTGCAGGAACAGCTCCAGGTGTTAGGCCCGTAGGGTTGGACCAGACCTGGGTTCAGCAACCTCGGTACTTGGGTTCTTGCTAGGAAAGAACTCAGAGCCAAGACCCAAACTACAAGAGAACATTTATTCAGTAAATCACAGAGGTAGAAGTGATTCCTAGAAGAAATGGGCTCAGGAAACAAGTTACAGAGGCAAAGGAAGGGCCCTTGGAGCTTGGGAGTGAGGAAGCTGATGCTAATGTGCCTGTGGGGTGCGGGGTGG